GCGGCTCCGGGAGGCGCTGGGCACGCTGCTCGAGGCGGGCACGCTGCGCGAGGCGTTCCGGCGCGCGGACACGCGGGGCCGCGCGGCCCTCGAGCGCGACGACTTCGAGGCGCTCGTCGACAGCGTCTTGGGCGCGCCCGCGGCGGGGCGGCCCGAGATCCGGGGCCTCGCGGCCGTCGTCGACCCGGGCAGCGCCGGCGTCGCCTACGACGCCCTGGTCGAGTACGCGCGCCTGCCGCCGTCGCTGCCGCCGCCGGGCGGACCGCCGGACTGGGCGCACCTGCGGAGCCGGTGCCGCGCGGCGCTCGCCGAGGCCGACGAGCGCCTCGGCGCGAACCGCAACGCCGCCGTCGTCAAGGCCCAGTTCGCGCGCTACGACTGGCGCGGCGCCGACGTGCTGGACCCGCGCGTCTTCGCGAGCGCGGGCAAGAGGGCGGGGCTCTGCCTGTCCGAGGCCGACCTCGTGGCGCTCGGGGACCGCTTCGCCGTCGACCCGGCGCTGGCGACGGTCCGCGGCGCGGCCTGGAAGCGCTTCCTCGCCTGGGCGGCGACGCCGGACGTCGACGACGCGAAGCAGAAGCTCGACGGGCTCCTGAGAAAGCTCGGCGACGACGTGCTGACGACGCGGGCCTGGGCGCGCGGCGTCTTCGACGGCCTCGACCGCGACGACAGCGGGCGCCTGGCGCCCAAGGCCTTCAAGCGCGCTCTCGTCGAGGATCTACGCAGCGACATGCGGGACGACGACCTCGATTTCGTGGTGACGCACTTCCTGGACCCGCGGGGCGACGTCGTGTACCGCGACTTCGTCGCGTCCGTCGAGGCCGCGGCGGACGGCGGCGACGGCGAGCCCGCGGCGCCGGCGCCGCACCGCCAGACGCGCGCCGACGCCGGCGACGTGCTGCGGGACGCGCTCAAGGCGCAGGTGCGCGCGGGCGTCGACTACCGCGCGGCGTTCGAGAAGGAGGACGGCGCGTACTCGGGCGTGCTGACGCGCGACGCCTTCGCGCGCGTGCTCCGCGCCCTCGGCTGCCGCCTCGACGCTTCGGATCTCGACGCGCTGGAGAACCGCTACCGCGCGGCGACGCGCGGCGGCGTGCACTACGTCGAGCTGCTCAACGGCGTGCTGCCCGTGCGGCCCGAGGCCGGCGAGGCCTGGCGCGTCGAGGAGAAGCTGCGGGCCATGATCAAGCGCCGCTTCGAGTGGTGGCAGCCGGGGCGCCTGCGCCGGGCCTTCAAGCACTTCGACACGAAGCGGCGCGGGCGGGTCGACGCCGCGGACCTCGCGGACGGTCTGCGAGCGTTAAAGCTCAAGCTCTCCGGCGAGCAGGAGCGGGACTTGTTCGCGGCCATGGACCTGGACGGCGACGGCTGGGTCGAGTACCCGGAGTTCCTGGTCTTCGTCAAGGACCCGTGCCACGCGTTCCTGGAGCAGAAGGTGCGCTACCTGAGCCACAAGCGCAAGCTCACGCCCCGCGACGCCGCCGACGCGCTCGCGGACGTCGACGGCAACGGGTCCGGGCTCATCGGCGCGCGCGACTTTGGGGTCGTCCTCGACCGCCTCGGCGTGGACCTCGCGGCGTCGGAGCGCGCGCGGCTCGCGGCGCGCTTCGACCCGTCGGAGGACGGCAACGTCGACGGCGGGCGGTTCCTGCGGTTCCTCAAGGGCGACAGCGAGGCCGGCGGCGCGGCCGACGCGCCCCCGGGCCTCCGGGCCCTGCGGAGCGCCATCGACCGCCTCGCGGAGCGCCGAGGCCGCGCGCCGGACTACGCGCGCGTCTTCGACGACTTCGACGCCGACGGCTCGGGCAAGCTCGAGCCCCGCGAGTTCAAGCGGGCGCTGAAAGCTTTGGGCTTCGAGGACCTCGGCGCCGACGACGTCCGGGACGCCGTCGCGGCCTTCGACGGCGACGGCGACGGCAAAGTCGACTTCCGCGAGTTCGTGGCCTTCGCCACGGGCGGCGGGCGCGAGGACGAGGAGCGGACGAACAGGGTCGAGCGCGCCCTGCGCAAGGAGCTCGAGCGCCTCGGCGGGTCGAAGAAGCTGCGGCGGGCCTTCGAGGACATGGACGCGAACGGCTCGGGGAAGCTCAGCCGCCGCGAGCTCGGCCGCGCGCTCGACGACCTGGGCTTCCGCCTCGACCGGGCCGACGTCGACGCGCTGATGGCGCGCTTCGACCGCGACGGCGACGGGAAGGTGTCCTGGAAGGAGTTCGTCGCCTTCGCCGACGGCGGCGGCGCCGCGCTGCTCGAGGGCGACGTCGACGACGTCCTCGACAGGCTGAAGAACGCCGTCGCCGACGCGAAGCGCGACGGTTTAGAAGTAGCGGACTGCTTCGACGCCTTCGACCGCGACGGCAGCGGCGACGTCGACGAGCGCGAGTTCCAAAAGGGCATGAAGAAGCTCGGCGTGTCCCTGAGCGCGTACGAGACGAAAAAGGTCTTCGCGCGCTTCCCGGGGCGCGACGGCACCGTGCGGCTCCGCGACTTCTACGACGCCGTGGGCGAGGGCGACGCGCGCGACCCGCCGGGCGTCGCGGCGGTGAAGCGCGAGGTCAAGCGCCTCGCGAAGAGCCGCGACGGCCCGCCCGACTTCTCGCGCGAGCTCCGCAAGTCGACGGACGCCAGGGTCATCGACAGCGCGCGGGACCTGCGGCGGTCCCTCGAGGCCATGGACATCGAGATCACGCGCGACGAGGCCGCGGACGTGCTGGAGGCCGTCGGCGGCCGCGACGGCGCGCCGGTGGCGGACGTCGCGAAACTGCTCGAGTCCGCGGCGGGTGCCGGCAAGAAGGAGGAGCCCGCGGGCTTCCGCCTGCTGCGCAGCGAGATCCGGCGCCTGGGCCAGCGGTCCGAGGGGCCGCCGGACTACAAGCGCGTCTTCCGCGCGTTGGACCGCGACGGGTCGGGCTACCTGGAGCCGCGCGAGTTCCGGCGGGGCCTGGAGAAGCTCGGCTTCGAGGAGCTGTCGTCGGAGGATTTAAGGGCCGTCGTCGACCGGCTCGACGTCGACGGCGACGGCCGCGTGTCGCTGCGGGAGTTCCTGAAGTTCGCGGACGCTTCGGGCGACGACCGGACGACGCGACTGGAGCGCGCGGTCTTCAAGGAGGTGCGGCGCCTGGCCCGGGGCCGGCGCAACCGGCTCCGCGACGCCTTTTTGGAATTCGACGACAACGACTCGGGCAAGATCAACAAGCGCGAGTTCCGCCGCGCGCTCGAGCGGCTCGGCTTCGAATTGTCCGCGGACGACGTCGACGGCCTCGTGGACCGCTTCGACGTCGACGGCGACGGCAAGGTGTCCTACGCCGAGTTCGTGGGCTGGTGCGACCGGGGCGCCGGCGCGGGCGCGCGCGAGGAGGACCAGGACGACGTCTTGAAGCTGCTGCGCGACGCGTGCCGCGACCGCCTCGACGGCGGGTCGTCGCCCCGGGCCGTCTTCGAGCGCCTGGACCGCGACGGCGACGGCACCGTCGACGAGGACGAGTTCGCGCGGGGGCTGCGGAAGCTCGGCGCGGAGCTGACGGCCTACGAGGTGCGCAAGGCCATGGACCGCTTCCCCGGCCGCCGCGGCCGCGTCAAGTACGACGACTTCCTCGAGGCCGTCAAGCCGTCGCGGTCGCGGAGCCGGGAGCCGCGCGGCGCGCTGGAGCCGCTCCGCGCGGAGCTCGAGCGCCTCGCGCGGCGGTCCGGCGGGCCGCCGGACTACCGGCGGGCCTTCCGGGATCTCGACGCGGACGGGTCGGGGCGCCTCGAGCGGCGCGAGTTCCGGCGCGGGCTCGAGAAGCTCGGCTTCGAGTTCGACGGCGGCGAGTTCGACCGCGTCGTGGAGCGCCTGGACCGCGACGGCGACGGCACCGTGTCGCTGCGCGAGTTCTTGAAGTTCGCGGAGGGCGCCGGGTCGCGGCCCGAGGACTCGGACGACGCCGTCGACGAGGTCATGGGCCGCCTGCGCGGGTTGGTGCGCGACGCCGTGCAGGACGGCCTGAGTCCCGCGGACTGCTTCGAGCACTTCGACCGCGACGGGAGCGGCGACGTCGACGAGCGGGAGTTCACCAAGGGCATGAAGAAGCTGGGCGTCGAGATGACGGCCTACGAGGTCCGCAAGGTCATGGACCGCTTCCCCGGCGGGCGCCGCGGCCGCGTGCGGTACCGCGACTTCGTCAAGGCCGTCGCGCCGGCGAGCCGCCGCGGCTCGGACCGCGGGTCGCGGTCGCCGCGCGCGTCGTCCAAGAGCCGCGAGCGCGCCGCGGGCGCGCTCCGGGCTTTACGGAAGGAGGCGAAGCGGTCGCGGGACCGGCGGGGCAAGCGGCCCAACTACGCGCGCGCCTTCGAGGCCTACGACTACGCGGGCGACGGCGCGGTGTCGCGGGCCGATTTGGACCGCGCGTTCGCGACCCTCGGCTTCGAGCTCTCGTCGTCCGACGCGCGGCGCGTCGCGGACCGCTTCGACCGCGGCGGCGCCGTCGCCTGGCGCGACCTCGCGCGCTACGCCGACGGCGACGGCGACGGCGACGAGGACGACGACGACGACGCGCTCAAGCGGCTCCGGAGCCTCGTCCGCGACGCCGTCGACGACGGCCTGTCGCCCGACGACATCTTCGCCCACTTCGACCTCGACGGCGACGGCACCATCGACGAGCGCGAGTTCGCCAAGGCCATGAAGAAGCTCGGCGTGTCGCTCTCGAGCCGCGAGGTCCGCAAGACCATGGCGCAGTTCCCCGGCCGCCGCGAGGGCCGCCTCAAGTACCGCGACTTCCTCAAGGCCATCCTGCCCTCGTCCCGCTCGAAGCGCTCGGGAGACCGCAGCCCCCGCCGCAGCCCCCGGAGCTCGCGGCGCTACTAAGTGTCCTCGAGTGCTCCCGAAAGTGCTCCAAGTAGTGCTCCCGAAGCCCGAGGGGCAACGAGCCGGCGATGGCGTCAAGAGCTCGATCTTTGACGGCTCGGAGTCAGCGGCGCCCGTGATGGGCTTCAATTACGCGATCGCGCGCCGAGCGGCAACGCTCCTATTCCTGGCAACCGCCGCAGCGCTCAAAGTACCGCACGCGCCGACAGCGCAGCCGCGCCGCAACGCCGCCGCGCCGCTCCTGAAGCGCGTCGCGAGCGCCGCCGTCGCCTTCAGCGCCCTCGGCGCCCCGCTCGTCGCGCTGCCCGAGGCGGCCCTCGCGGCGAAGCCCAGCGATGCCGCCACGTCGGCGGGGAGCCGCGTGAACAAGGACCCGGAGTCGCTGCTGCGCAACGGCCTGCCCATCGGCGGCGCGATCGGGTCCGCGACGAAAAAGGCCGAGGCGCGCAAGGTGCAGCAGGCCGTCGAGGCCATCAAGGACGACCTGCGCGCGAAGCGCATCCGCGCCGCCGGCTCCGACGTCGTCAAGGCGCAGACGCTGCTGGGCGACGGGTCGAAGATCGCCGCGGGCGCGCCCGGGCCCGTCAAGGACGAGGTCGAGGCCTTGCTCGGCGAGCTCAAGGCCGCGCTCGACCCCATCGCGGCCATCCTCGCGGACACGGGCGCCGCGGGCTCGCCCCAGGAGCGCGACTCCCTCGACAAGGCCTTCGCCGCCCAGGCGACGGCCGCGGACCTCGTGAGCAAGGTCGAGGCGCGCTTGGTCCCCGCGGGGCTCAAGTACGCGAACGCGCCGCCCGAGTTCAAGAACGTGCCGCGCCTCGACGGCCGCGCGCGCGTCGAGTGGACCATGGTCAAGAAGGACAAGGGCGGCACTTTTGCTGTTGATGGCATCCTCTACAAGGAGGCGAAGATGGAGATGATCCTCGACGGCTATACGACGCCTCTCACCTCCGGCAACTTCCTCGACCTCGTGTCCAAGGGCTTCTACAACGGCATGGCCATCCAGCGCGCCGACGGCTTCGTCGTCCAGACCGGCGACCCCGACGGGCCCGACGGCCCCTTGATCGGCTACGGGCAGGACGGCGATCCGAAGAAGGAGCCGCGGCGCGTGCCGCTCGAGCTCTTCGTCGACGGCGACAAGGCGCCGACCTACGGCGAGACGACGGAGGACGGCCAGCGCGGCTCGGCGCAGACCGTGCTGCCCTTCCAGGCCTACGGCGCGCTCGGCATGGCGCGCGACGAGTACGAGGCCGACTCGGCGTCGTCCCAGTTCTTCTTCCTCCTCTTCGACAGCGACCTCACGCCCGCGGGCAAGAACCTCCTCGACGGCCGCTACTCGTGCTTCGGCTACACCATCGCGGGCTCCGACTTCCTCGGCGCCGTCGAGGAGGGCGACATCATCAAGTCCGTCAAGATCCTCAAGGCGCCGCCGCCCTTCGGCGACTACAAGGGGCCCGACCCCTAGGACGCGGGCATAAAAGAGTGCGGCGGGTCAATCGCGGGCTGCGTCTCGTTAAGCGCGCGCGGGTATAAAAGACAGGGGGGCGGGGGGGCGGGCGGAGTGTGCAAGGGGCCCCGGGGGCGCGTTCAGGGCGCGTAGTCGTCGAGGTGGAGGCGCGGGCAGCAGCCGAAGCGCTCCTCGAGGGGCGGCGGCTTCGTCGTCCAGGACCGGCCGAGCGGGTGCGCGGCGCCCGCCGTCGACTCGTGGCGCGCGTCCGCGCGCGCCGCGCGCGCGGCGAAGGCCGTCGCGCGCGCGGGCTTGGCGTCGCGGTCCAAGCGCGCGAGCACGCGCCAGGCCGTCGCCGCCGTCTCGAAGTCGTCGACCTCGTCCGCGTGCTCGATGGCCTCGCGCGCGAAGCGCGCGGCGACTTCGCGGTCGCCGACCTCGGGGCAGTCCGCGACGAAGGCCTCGAAGCGCGCGCGGCCGCAGGCGACCCAGGGCAGGGCGTCCGGGTGGCCCCGCGCTGCGAGGCGCAAGGCCCAGTCGAAGAGGCGCCGCGTCCGGTTCGCGCCCGACCGACTCACGGGCTGGCCGTCCGATTCCCCCCGGGCCCGCGCGAGCGCCCACTCCGCGTGGGCCCAGGCGTGCACGAGCGCCACGAGGTCCGCGCCGCCGTTGGACGCGCGCGCGCCGCGGTAGAAGGAGCGCCGCGCCGCGTGGAGCGACGCCTCGGCGCGGTCGCCGCCGTCGCGCGCGGCCGTCGTCGCCTCCAGGTCGCCGAGCGCGTGCCAGACGCGCGTCGACCGCGGCCGGTGGCTCAGCGCGACCGCCAGGATCTCGCGCGACCGGTCCGCGTCGCGCTCGAGCCGCGCCCACTGGACGTAGAGCTCCGCGTCGCGCGGGAACCGCACGGACGCGCGCCGGTACAGCGCGGCCGCGGACCCGGCGTCTTTCGCCGAGAGCGCCTCGAAGCGCGCGAAGGCGAGCCAGGACGCGATGTGCTCGCCCGTGCCCGCCACGCGGTCCTCGCGCGTCGCGTTGCCCAGGAGTCCGGGGGCCCGCTCGAGGCCGCACGCGCGGCGGTACGCGCGCCGCGCCGCCGGCAGGTCGCCCGCCGTCTCCTCCAACCTCGCCAGCGACAGGAGCGCCTCGTCGTGGCCGCAGACGACGGCGAGGCGCAGCTCGCGCCTAGCGCCGGCGTCGTCGCCGCGGCCCGCGAGCTCGACGCCGAGCGCGTGGCGGAGGTGCGCGTGCCGCGGGAAGTCGCGGAGGCCCCTTCGAAGCGCCGCCTCGGCCAAGCGCGTCGCGTTCGCCGCGCCCGCGCGCGCGCCGCCGCCCCGGCCCAGGGCGAGGCCGTAGGCGTGCCAGAGGCGCGCGGCGTCGGGCTGGACCTTCGCGCCGGCCTCGCCGGCCACGGCGCCGCACGCCTCCAAGCCCCGCCGCGCGAGCCGCGCGGCCGCCGCGGCGTCGCCGCCCCGCAGCTCGAGGCGCGCCCAGGCGTCCCAGGCGGCCACGAGCGTCGGCTCGGCCTCGACGGCGCGGCGATAGTGGAGCTTCGCCGCCGCGCCGTCGCCCGCGGTCCGGCTCGCCTCGGCGAGCTCGCGCCACAGCGCGGCCTCGCCGGGCATCGCCGCGACGCCGCGGCGCAGGGCCGCGCGCATGGACGGCCAGTCCTTGGCGAGGCGGTGGAGCCGCGCGAGGCGGCTCCAGGCCCGCGCGCTGTCGTGGGGGCGCAGCGCGGTCGCGCGGCGGAGCAGCCGCACGGCGTCGGCCGCGCGGCCCGCCTTCTCCGCCGCGTACGCGTCCCGCCGCATCTTCCCCGCGGCGGCCCGCGCCTCGTCGACGCTGAAGTTCTCGTCGGGCTTGAGGCCCGGCAGCTTCGGGGGCTCGCGGGGCGGCTCCCCGAAGAAGGGGTCCGTCGTTTGCGTCGCGGGCGTCGACAACTTCATCGTCACGGCGTGGTGTTTTCGTCTCGGGGTGCTTAATCGGATGGGCGTCGGCCGGAGGGTCGCGGCGAGCCCCGCGAGGGCCAGGAGGGCGGCCATGGCCCGCCAGCTGATCCCGTTGCGGCTCATCTTTCGTCGCCGGTGGCGCCGCGGGCCGTCGAGGCTGATCTGATGAGCTTCAACGCGGCTCTTGTTTTTGTTGCACGAGGCCGTCCGCGCGCGCGTTCCCGCGCCGTTCCTGACGCTGGAGTCCTAGCGTCGGAGGCGGCGTCGACGCGACGGACATGCGGCGACACGGGCGGCGACACGGGCGGCGACACGGGCGGCGACACGGGCGGCACGGGCAGCACGGGCTGCGCGACGGTCGCCCCCTTCGGCACGACGGCCTCCGGCGGCCGCGGCGGCGGCGGCGGCGGCGGCGCGCGTTTCCACTCTCCTCGAGTGTTTCTCACAGTATGTTCGAACTCACTCTCCGCACCTATATAAAAATGAAGCCTCGGCCTCCCGTCCAAAGGCTGCGTAGAGGGAGTAGCAGTCCCGGCCGCGGCGCCGGCCGCCGGCGGAGGCCTGGCCGGGCGTGGGCGACTCGGACGCCTACTCGGAGCTTGGACAGCGCCGTTCCGAGCACTCTCTTTACTATCTGCATCACGTGCGCTCCTGCGCCACTAGTAATGGGTGCGGTGCTGCTTCCACACCTGGCACGGGTTCTGTGCCTTCCTCCAGCTCCGACTTGATGCGGGCGGCCGCCGAGTCTCGGTCACCGGTTAGCAGACACATGAGCTACTAGTAGGCAATGGAGCCGAGCTCCTCGAGTACACTTGACTCGTCGCCGCGGCCGACGCGGAATTCTTCGTAGAAGGGGGACGGCGTGCTCCAGCGCTGGCGGCGCGCGCGCGCGCCGCGGACGCCATAGACCCCCGGGCGCGGTCGCTTCGGAGAGCCAGCGCTGCTGCGCGTCGGCCGGCTTCGACGCCGTCCTCGGCACAAAAAACTTTAGACGCGCGGCAGTGTCCTTCGCGCGTGGCACACCGCCGCAACGAGCACATGGCGCCCGTCGAGCTCGCCATATACGACCTTTCAGGGGGCGCGGCCAAAGAGATGAGCGCGTCCATGGGCGCGCTCCTCGACAACAAGACGGTGGAGCTGCCCAGGACCCGACCCAGGTCGTCGAGGCCATGGGCCACGGCCCCGTGCGCGTCGAGGCCATGGGCGAGACCTCGAAGACCGAGGACGAGCTCGACGAGTTCCTGTGCTCGATCGCGGCGAGCTGGACGGCCGAGTCCTACGACCTCTGGACGAAGAACTGCAACAACTTCAGCGACGTCGTGCTCAACTTCCTCTGCGGCCGCGGCGTGCCCGCGTGGATCCTGAGCCTGCCGGGGGAGATGCTCGCGACGCCGCTCGGCAAATTGCTCGGGCCGATCCTCGGCAACGTGCAGGACGCGCTCAACGGGTCCCTCGAGAAGAACGGGGGCCTCGTCGGGCCCAAGGGCGAGACCATGACGCTCACGGTCAAGGCGGCGTCGGGCTCCGCGGCGCCGACGTCCGTGACGCTGCCGAAGACGGCGACCGTCGGCGCGCTCCGCGCGGCCGTCAACGTCGACGCGAAGCCCCGCTTCGTCTTCATGGGCAAGCTGCTCGCCGACGACGCCAAGCCCCTGAGCGACTACGGCGTCACGAAGGACGGGCTGACCGTGCTGCTCGTCGGCGCGAAGGCGTCGTCCGCGCCCGCGCCCGCGCCGCCGCCGCCGGTCGCGACGCCCGTCGCCGCGCACGTCATCCCGACCATCCCTGTGCCCGCCGCGACGCCCCTGTCGCGCGCCGTCGCCCGCGCCGAGGCGTCCGGCGGCACGGAGGTGCTGAAGACGCTGCACAAGATCCTGTCGAACGTCGTGCACCACCCGACGGAGGAAAAGTACCAGAAGCTCAAGCTGAGCAACGCGGCCTTCCAGCGCAAGTGCGTGGGCCACGACGGGGCGCTCGACGTCCTCAAGGAGGCGGGCTTCCGCGAGGCCGACGCCATGCTGCAGATCACGCCGTCGGCGTCCGCGTGGGGCCCGCTCTCGGCCGCGGAGCGCGCACTGTCCGCGCGCCTCGACGCCATCGAGGCCGCGGCCGCGCCGCCGCCGGTCGCGGCGGCGGGCTTCCCCCCGGGGGGCCTCGCGGGCCTGGGCCTCGGCGGCGCGCCGCCGCCGGGCGGCCTCGGCGGCATGATGCAGGCGCTCCGGTCGAACCCGGCGCTCATGGAGCAGGTCAACGCGATGATGGCGGACCCGGCGGCGATGCAGCGCGCCATGGAGACCGTGCAGCGCAATCCGGCCATGGCCCAGATGCTCCAGCAGCAGATGGCCGGCCTCGGCGGCATGCCCGGCGGCGGCGGCGGCGGCGCGCCGGGCGGCCTCGGCGGTTTGGGCGGCCTCGGCGGCCTCGGCGGCCTCGGCGGCGGCGCGCCGGACGCGGCGCAGATGCAGCGCGTCATGCAGCTCGTCCAGAACAACCCCCAGCTCCAGCAGCAGATGCAGCAGACGCTCGGCGAGCTGCAGCGGAATCCGGAGATGGCGCGCCAGCTCCTCGGCTCGCTCCCGCCGGGCGCGCTCCCGGGGGCGCTCCCGGGCCAGCCCGGCGCGCCGCCGCCGGACCTCGCCGCGGCCCTCGCGGCCCTGAACGGCGGCGCGCCGCCGAGCGGCGCCGCGCCGGGCGCGGCCGCGGCGCCGCCGCCGAACGTGAACGAGGACGGCACGCCCATGACGGAGGAGGAGGCGATCCAGGAGGCCATCCGACGCTCCATGCAGGAGCAGTAGGGGCGGCCGCAATCTCTGCCCCCGACGTAACGCAGCCCCTTGTTCGATCTTGCTGTGCGACTCCGGAGATCCCACGGCCTGCCGCGCGGCGCGGCCCGGGTGATCTCCCCTTCGAAACGTGCCTGGGGTAAGTCACCCAGGCAGATTTGGCAAAAAAGAAAGGCCCCTCCGCGGGTGCCCCAAGAAAACCGCCATTTTACTTGTCCACCTTCACCCTTATTCAGTTGACGAGATCTCGTGAAGATCCCGTTGACGATAATGTTGAATGCCGTGCCGCTCTGTAGGTTTGCGGTTGTGAATGCGGACGGCCTGATTGTTGAATGCTGCCCCGCGGGACGATGCTGCCGTGTGAGATTCGTGGAGTTCTCAACGGAATGAATGTCGGTCAACGAGTCGGAAGTGAGTCGGAAGAAGTCGCGTTAGAACACGTGAGAGTCAGTGAGTCGGAAGTGAAGCTTGAAGCTTCGAGGTCTGAGGGTAAAGGTGTCTGTGGGGTCCCAACCATCGATCTGATTGATCAGGTCAGACCAGTGGCTAGCTACACCTCGGTGATCAGGTGAGACGCAGCCCGAGGGGACCCCGAAGCTGACGGTGCCGGGCTGCCGCATAAGATGGGCTGATGATGGGCTGCCCTTTTGTAGCCCAATGATCCGCGCGCTGCTGCTCGTAACACTTCTCCGCGCGCTGGTCCTCGCAACACTGCTCCAAGCCGCCACCCCATGGCAAAAATGCAAGCACACGTACTGCGCGCTCGAGCGCATCGGCCGGCGCACGCGCTGCGGCGCCGCGGCTCGCAGCGACTGCCCGAAAGTCTACATCTACGCGAATTTGTCGAGCACGTACTACGACCTCGCCTGGCGGCCCGCGGCCGCCGAGTCCTGCGAGGCGCCCTTCGACGTCGCGGCGCGCAAGGCGTACCACGGCGCGTTCCAGATGCGCGCGGCCGCGTGCGACGGGTTCCCGGACGACGTCTGGCCCGCGCACCACAGCAACCAGTGGAGCGCGGCGGAGCTCCTGCTCTACCGCGCGGCGACGTCGCGGCGGTGCCCGCGGACCTTCGACCCGGCGGCCGCGGACCTGTTCCTCGTGCCCGCGCTGCCCGCGCCGAAGTCGCGGTGGTGCGGCGACGGCGCGTCGCGCGGCGAGGCCGCGCTCGTCGCCGAGCTGCCCTTCCTCGACGGCGCCACGGCGCACCGCCACCTCATCGTCGTCGGCAAGGGCCACGCGAACCGCTGCGACTGGTTCGCGCGGCCGACGACTCTACTCAAGTACGCGCAGCGCTTCGCGTACGCCGCGGCGCCGCCGGGCGACGCGAGCTCCTACGGGCCGCTGGACCTCGCGGCGGTCTTCGACGCGGACGCGCTCGCGCGGCGGGCGACGCGGCCGAACCTCGTCTCCATACCCTACCCGTCGTCGCTGCACCCGTCGGCGGGCGCGGCGGGCGCGGCCTGGGCCGCGGGCCGCGCGCGGCCCTTCCTCGCGTCCTACGTGGGCCGCGACTCCCACGGCAAGTTCGGGCGCCGGGCGCGCGAGAAGCTCGCGGTCGACTGCCGCCGCGACGCGCGGTGCCTGCTCAACGGCGGCGGCGGCGACGCGGCGTGCGCCGCGACGCCCGAGCGCGGCGGCGTCTGGCACCCGAATATGCTCAAGACCGTCAAGGCGAGGAGCGTCTTTTGTTTGGAGCCCGGCGGCGACTCGCCCTACCGCAAGTCGCTCTGGGACGACCTGGCCGTCGGCTGCATCCCGGTGGTCTTTAGCCTCTACGCGGAGCTGACGGCGCCGTGGCACTGGGGCCCCTGGCGCAACGCCTCGCGCGTCTACATCCCCGAGGCCGCCTACGTCGACGGGACCGTCGACCTCTTCGACTACCTCGCGCGCGTGCCCCGGGCCGACGTCGCGCGCATGCAGGCCGCGATCGCCGCGGACGCGCACCGGGCCCTCTACGCGGCCGACGACCTGCCCCACGACGCCTACGAGACGCTCGTGCGGCGCGCGGCGCGCGAGGCCGCCGGCTTCGACGCGGCGCGGGCGGCGCCCTCGGGCCAGTGGCTCGCCGTGTAACGCTCTTACTCCGACGCGTCGTCGAGCTCGACCGTGAGGGTCTTGCGGATCATCTTCAGCCCCCCCAGCTGGCGCCGCCCGACGTCCGTGAGCTTCGTGTTCCGGAGATTGAAGGTCTTGAGCGTCGGCGCCTTGCCCGCCGCGAGGGCGAACATGAGCTCCTGGACGCCGACGTCCGTGATCTCGTTGTACGACAGATCGAGGATCTCCAGCGGCGCGTCCCCGCCGTCGTCGCCGCGCGGCGGCAGCGCCTCGACGACGAGTTTCACGTCGTCGTCGCTCAGGGACATGCACCGGAGCTCCGCGTTCTTGACGACCCTGTTCTTGATCGCGTCGACCACCGGGAGAAATTTCGGGTTTCGCATCGACGCCTTGATGTCCTTGACCATCTGCTGCGTCGCCCGGTCCGCGCGCAGCTTCGCGTCGAAGGACGTCTCGGGCACCTTCTCCGGGTCCGCGACGGGGCAGCTCTGGCCCTTGTCCTGGGCCGCCTGCCGCGCCGCGGCCAGTTTCGCGAGATGCCGGTGGAGCTCCGCGAGCCGCGCGCGGAGCGGCTCCGTCGCCAGGCGCCCCACGACCTCCTTCAGGTGCTTCTCCGCATCGGACACGTCGAGATTCTCCTTCTCCTGGAGCGCCGGGTTCTGCTCCTTCATCTGGTCCGCGCCCTGCCCCGAGATGTTCGGCTTCTTGAAGTCCCAGTCGCCCTCCACCGAAAAGTCGCCCGTCGCCGCGTCGACGCCCTCGCGCGCCTCGCCCTCGGGCGTGACGCGCTCGGAGCCGAACTCCGCCACGCGAAACCGCCCGCGCGCCTCGCCGACGACGCGGCCGTCGAGGCGGTGCACCGCGTACCATTTCACGACGAGGTCCAAATTGTACGTCGCGAAGACCTTGCCCTTGCGCGCGTGGAGCAGGCACTCGCCCGTGTCCTTGTAGGTGTTGAGGAGCCGCACCTTGTAGTCCTCGGCCTCGTAGAGCACCTGCTGGTCCAGGTTGAGCTCCATCCACTCCTTGAGCCAGCCCCCGGGGCTGCCCAGGTCCACCTCGCTCCAGTGGTAGCGGTCGCGGTTCGCGCGCGCCTCGTCGTCCTCGACGATGTCCTTGGCCTCCATGATGTTCGGGGATTCGTCGCCCAGCGTGTCGAGCGCGGCCATGGTCGTCGAAGCGCTGCGGCTAAACCGCGTCGGGCTGGCGGCGCGAGCGCTGGAGGGCTGTTGGGCAGCGTTTACGACACGAGCCGTGCCGCATCGGCTTGGCGAGCTCTCCGAAGCGCAGTCTGGGCCGTCCGCAGCTCCGCAAGCATGTCCGAGCTGGTCAAGGGCAAGCGCAAGGCCGAGGCGGAGCTCCCCGAGCCCGTGGACTCGACGCCGCCGCGCGCCGACACCGGCAAGCGCACGTCGAACCCGGCCCTCCAGGCGAAGCTCGACGAGCTCTTCACCTTCGCGGCGCGCGACGAGCGCGAGGCCTTCGTGCGGGCCTTCGTGCCCCTGGACCTGAGCGACGCGGAGCTGAACACGTACCTCGGCGACCTGACGACGGGCGAGGAGGCCGAGGGCGCCTGGGAGAACCTGGCCGCGGAGATCGAGACAATCTGCAGCGGCGAGGGCGTCGTCAAGGTCGAGGAGAACGGCAAGAAGTGCGTCTTCTACTTCCCGCACCCGCTCATCCCGAACTGCGACCGCGAGGTCGAGTTCAAGCGCGTCGGCGACGAGTGGCGCGCGGAGGGCTAGCGCGCGGTGGGACCCGTAACGGACCGTTCGCTTCGACCCCGCGAGTCTTTCGTCGCGCGGGGATGGCCGGGTTCGCTTCGACCTCGCGAGTCTTTCGTCGCGCGGGGATGTCCGGGTTCGCTTCGAGCCCGCGAGTCTTCAGTTAGTCGTGCGGGGATGTCCGGTCGCGCGCCGGTCTTCACGCGAGGAGGGTCTTGTAGTAGGCCGCCATGGCGACGACGGCGCAGCCGATGGCGTAGGGCTGCGCGAGGCCCGCGAAGTAGATGAGCGCGGACGCCTCGCCGAGGGAGTCGACGGCGTAGGGCGACCGCCAGAGGCCGCCGTGGACGGACTCCGAGGAGAAGAGCTTGAGGGGGTTGTCGACGCCGAACTTGGCCTTGTTCGCCGGGTTCTTCGGGCCGTCGTCGTTGAGGACGTCGTGGAGGAGCACGGCCGTCATGACCGCGTTCGTCGTCTCCTGCTTGAAGATCTCGTAGCCGAAGGACGGCATGCCGCCGTAGGCCCAGGCGAAGGTCTTGTTGTGGATCACGGAGATGGTCGCCGTCGACGGCGCGATCATCGTCGAGGCGACGTGGCCGCCGTCGTAGGCGAGGACCGCGCGCCAGTGCTGCATGCGCTTCGCCAGCGCGTAGTTCGGGCCCTGCGCCACCGACAGGCCGTCGACCATGTAGGCGTCCGTGCCCGACTTGGTCTTGATGGGCGCCTCGAAGTTGGCGCGGAGCTTGGCGCCGCCCGTGAGCACGTTGAAGAGCTTCTCGGCGCCGAAGTTGCGGAGGCCCGAGCCGTAGGCGGCGACGGCGGCGTCGCGCGCGTCTTTCGGCACGAGGTGCGCGTCCGTCGGCGTGCAGAGGAAGGCGCAGGCCGCGGGCCGCGCGAGGCGCGTCGACGCGCGCAGGACCTTGTCGATGAGCGAGTCCGCGCACAGAGCTAGCTTGACGTGGAGCTCGCCGTCGAGGTACGTGTAGTTGCCGATGCAGACGCGCGCGGACGTGGGCAGCGTCTTGATCCAGGCCTCGAGCCAGTCGCCGATCTCCTTGGGCTCCATCATGAGGTCGCAGCCCGCGGCCTCGGCCAGCGCGTCGAGGTCGCCCGCGCCGCCCTTGAAGTCGGAAGACACGGGCACCGTGAGCGACCCGCCGGGCGACGCCTTCGCGAGGCCGAAGAGGCGCTTCCAGAGGCCCGACGCGGGCCGCTTGCCGCCCTTGCCCCAGACGCCGGGGATGTCGACGGCGACGACGTTCGCGCCCATCTCCAGCAGCTTCGCGCAGGGCCCCATCGCGGAGCCCGCGCCGATGAGCACGAAGTGGCAGCCCGAGAGCGAGCCGCCGGACTTGAAGTAGTCCGCCGTCCAGGAGATGGCGTGCGACGCGTCGCGCTCGATGTGGCCGTTCTCGACCCAGAGGTCGCACTGGTCCTGGAGCGCGACGCCCGACAGCGCCCCCGCGGGCGCCTTGGGCCGCGTCGGGTGCCAGCCGCCGTCGTAGGGCACGCTGTAGGCCAGGGTCTTGCCCTTCTTGCCGCCGGGGACGATCACCGACTTGAGCGAGCGGCCGGACACCGTCGCCTTCGAGTCCGGCGCGACAGCAACACCAAAGGCGCACGATTCGTCGTCCTTGGAGACGAACTGGAAGTGGCCGTAGAGCCAGTTCAGGCCCGCGCGGGCCGACTCGACGGCGCCCGCCGCAGACCAGGCGCCCTCGATGACCAAGGAGCGCACGTGGCCCGCGTAGCCGAAGCGGTAGGCCTTCTCGCGCGCGCACTTCTGCGCCGCGGCCGCGGAATTCGGCGAGCCGCACGCCTCGATGGCGACCGCGACGGCCGTCCGGTTCGGCGCCGTCGTCGACCGCGCGCCCTTGGCGTCCAGGGGGAAGGCGCAGCCCCGCGCGGGCTTCGGCGGCGGCGCGAAGCGCTTCTTGAAGGCCGACTTGCGGTTGCCGACCATGTTCAGGTACATGAACGGCGACCCCGGCACGTACAGCGCGACGATGCACTGCATGAGCGTGTGCCAGGGCGTCAGCTGGCCGCAGTGGAGGCCCCAGTAGGCCGTGAGCAGCTCGCCCGTGATGCCCGTGGGGTAGAGCAGCGCGAACGCGCTGTAGCGGGCCCAGAAGACGGGGTACGGCACCTTGGGCAGGAGGAGCGCGCTGAGGTAGAACGCGTAGCGGATGCACTCGACGCAGGCCCAGGAGAGCACCATGAGCCCGACGCTCCACTGCTCGCCGATGCGGCAGGGCGCGTCGACGTAGGGCACGAGCACGATCCAGAGCCGGCTCGTGACCTGCATCGCCGTCGTGACGAGCGGCGACCGCACGAGGCCCAGCGCCGCGTGGCCGATCTCGAGCGCCATGGCGAACTGCACGTAGAAGACGACGTCGCCGACCTCGGCCCAGACCGCGCCGAGGCGCGCCGCGAGCGCGCCGTCGCCCGCGGCGACGGTCTTGATCCCCGCGACGAGCGCGAAGCACCAGCCCGCGAGGCAGCACGCGTTGTAGAGCACGAGGTAGGGCGTCGCGAGGCCCATGGTCGTTGCAACGAGGTCGTTCCCAGTCGGAGCGGCGGCGCTGTCAACGCGACTGGCGCACAAGAGCTTGATCTGTCGTCGCGCGACGTCGACGCGATCTCGAAGTGGTGGTTGAAGTGCTCGTTGATGCTATGTTGCGCCTATCGGCTTCGCGCTGATGCGGGGGTTGATGGCATTAAAACAGGGGTATCGGTGCGGGGGCGGCGGCCCAACTCGCCGTCGACGGGCGGGGGCGGCTCGGCCGGGGGGGGGTGCGGGGGTCGGCGCGGGCCGCGGCTCGTCCTAGGCCGGGGACTTGTCCTCGTCCTTGACCTCCTTGCCGAGCATGTGCCAGACGCGGCTGAGGCGGTTGAAGTCGTCCTCGTGCGTGTGCTCGAGGATGTGGGGGTTCTCGACGAAGAGGATGAACGCGCTCTTGTTCGCCGCCTCGACGAGCGCGTAGACCGTGTGCGCGACGAAGTAGCCGCCGACGCCGCAGAGGAGGCCGACGACGACCTCGGCCTGGTTGATGCCCTCGGACCAGTCGTCGGGCCCGTACTCGACGATGGCGACGCCGAGCGCCGCGGACGCGAGGCCGATGCCGACGGAGAAGAAGAAGAAGATCATCTCGATGAAGAAGTCGGAGGCGACGGCCGTCATGCCCTGGGTCGCGAAGAGGGCGCAGACCTGCTTGCCCGCGTAGAGGTAGGAGTAGCCGTGGATGCCCACGTAGATGAACGCGTACTTGTTCATGTAGTCGAGGATCGACTCGCAGCACTTGAGGCAGCACGTCACGAACCAGAGCACGCAGGACACGCAGCAGCCGCCGGGGCACTTCTCGGCCTCGCGGCGCAGGTAGTTGATGATGGCGACGATGGTCTCGATGAGCGCGACGAAGAACGCGCCGAACGCGATGCTCCCCAAATGGTACGTCGTCGTGCGGCCGAGCGCGTTCAGCGCCGGGTGGCCCGTGTGCTCGAGGCCGTACCACCAGGTCTGGGCCGTGTCCGCCGTCATCGCCGTGATGATGTACTTGAAGACCTGCTGCGTCCAGAAGAAGATGAAGAGGAAGACGAAGATGACGATCGTGAGCCGCGCCTGCTCGTCCTCGTCGTCGTCCTCCTTGTCCTGCTGGTAGTTGTAGTAGCCGTAGCAGGCGACGCCGAAGGTGAAGAAGAAGAGCACGCCCAGCACGCTCACGGCGAAGGCCGCGACCTCGAGGAGCGGGAAGTCCATGACCACCTCGCAGCCGACGTGGAGGCACGCGCTCGCGAAGGCGATGTTCGCGCGGATGTAGAAGTGGAAGAGGCAGCCGCACAGACCCACCAGGATCAGGAAGACGCCGCAGTACCAGTACGTGTACTCGATGAAGATCACGCCCGAGACGATCAAAAACGCGTTGATCCCGATGAGGCCGACGTGGATCATGAAGCCGCCGCAGCGCATCATGACGGACATGGACATCTGGGCGCAGAACAGGGCGAAGAGGAAGACGAGGATGAGGATCTTCGTGAGGTGCTCGAGCGCCGCCTGCTTCTCGTCGTCGTCGTACTCCTCGGCCTTGTCGGACACGTCCTGCGCGCCGTAGGCGATGGCGACGTAGATCATGCCGACGACGCTGACGATCCAGGCGATGCCGAAGGCCAGGTCCGGGAACTTGAGCGGGTTGCGGTCGATCTCCGGCGGGTGGTCGATGGCCTTCATGGAGCGCTTCTGCTCGAGGAGCGACATGGGCGCGTCGGCGTCCTTGGTCTCCTCGAGGGTCTTCTTCTCCGCCGTGATGGGGCTCTCCGTCGTGCCCTCCTCCTTGGCCCACGCCGGGTCGTCGGCCATGGCTGCTGGCGGCGGGACCCGGGAGGGATTAAGCGTCGGCTGCGGCGGCTGTGGCTGACAGGGATTCAGTCGAAATACGAAAAACTCGCTAATGCGTGTCAAAAGTAGATCGCGCGGCATCGTTGAACATTGCAAATCCGCGCATGCATCGATAACGATGGGGAGATGCTTCGGCAGGCCTGTGTGCCTTGAGTGCTACCTGAACTGGTAGACGAGTCCAAAAAAACACGCCAGCGATATGGAGAAGCTGCGCCAGGGCCTGAACATCCCCGGCCTCCACTCGACGGGCACGACGCTGAACTGGGTCTGCGACGGCCCCGCCGAGGGCTCGACGCGGTCCATCTTCAAGCTGAGCCCCGGCCAGAAGCCGGCGCCGCCCGTGTCCTTCAAGACGCACCACCCGCAGCGCATGCACGGCCGGCGCCTGCCGCCCGCCGCGGACCCGGCGGCGGCGGCGGGCGACGACTGGTGGAACTGGGACACGGACGCGCGGCCCGCGCCGAAGCGGCGGACGCGCGGTCCCGGCGCGCGCGCGAGCGCGACGTCGAGCCCCCGCGAGGGCCGGGCCGACCGCCTGGAGCCCTTGCCGGCGAAGCCGCGGGCCGCGCGGAACCAGCACCGGGGGCCGCCGCCGTTCGCCGTCGACGAGGACGCGCCGACGAGCTTCCCGCCGCGCCAGGTCGCGCCCCTGCCGGACCGCGTCGCGGCGAAGCCGCGCGGGACGCTGCGCGTGGGCCTGAACATCCCGACGCCCGCGGAGGTGCGGGAGCGGGGCGACGACGCGACGGCGACGGTCGCGCGGCGGCGCCCGGCGACGCCCGGCGCGCCGCCCCTCGACGGCGGCGGCGACGACCTCGAGGCCCACGACGACCTCGCGGCCTACGAGGCCGCCGTCGAGCGCGAGCGGGCCGAACACCGCGCCCTGGAGGCGGAGATCGAGGCGCTGAAGCGCGCGGACGACGCGGGGCCCCCGGCGAAGCACGCGCGGATCGCGCCGCTCCCGGGCCGCGCCGTGGACCGCGCGGCCGCCGCGGCGCGCGACCGCAGCCCGCCGCAGCCCGCGCCGAACCGCCTGCCCTCCGTGAAGCGCCCCAAGCCCCGCGCGCCCGCGAAGCGGTCGTCGAAGCGCCGCGCGGCGACGCCGGAGCGGCGGCGGTCGCCGAGCCCGCGGCTCCTCCACCCGGAGCCGCCGCGCACGCTCCGGGCCCACGAGAAGCGCATGCTCGAGCAGCGGCCGGCCCTCGGGTCCCTGCGCGTCGCGACGCACGGCGACGGCGGCGGCTACCAGGCCGCGGCGAGCTACTCGCCCGACGCGCGCGCGGAGAGCTTCATCGCCGCGCGCAACCGCCGCAACATGCTCGTGAAGATCATGCAGAACCAGTGCTGAGAGGAGAGAGGCGGCCGCGCGAGTAACGCGGGCGGGTGACGGTCGGCGAAGGCGGCGATCGCAAGTGAACTCGCGTCGAGTTCAAGTCTGCATCAACGTCCGACCTTTACTTTAACGGCGCTGCCCCCACAACGATGATCATGGCCGGAACGCAGTTGTCGAAGTCGAGGTTCCAGTAGCTGTCGCTCGACGAGAGGCTCTGCGTGCCCGAGACGACGAAGCGCCGATGCCGATCTTCGAGCGCATGCGGCTCAGCGCCGACGAGGGCGACGCGGCGCTCGTCGACGACTCGCCGGCGCGGACGCGGCGGATCGCGAGCAAGCTCGTCGACCCGCTGTCCTTCCCCTGGCTGCGGGACCACGCGCAGGCGCTCGACGCCCGCGCGCTGGCCGACGAGATCTGCGCCGCCTGCGACGTCGACGAGGGTCGCCTGCCGCTGACGCGGTCCCTCGCGTCCGACGGCCCGCACGCGTGGCTCCAGGAGCTCTGCCTCCGCGCGGCCGAGGCGGGCTCGGGCGCCGCGAAGTCCTCGCTCAAGCTCGGCGACGTGCGCGCGGCCTGCGCGTCGATCCAGCGCTACGACGCCGAGGCCGGCGACGACGCGCGGTCGCGCGCGACGCACGCCATCGTCCTCGTCCACAGCGGCCTCGACCTCGACGGCGCGGAGGCGGCGCAATTCGCGGACGCGAAGGACGGGCTGCTGCGAGAGGCGGTGCCCGACCTGCTCGGCGCCGCGGCGGGCCTGCTGAGCCGCGGCGGGGAGGCGACGATCGACGCCACGCGCGCGCTCCAGGCCGCGCACCGGCTCGTGCGCCTCGGCGGCCACGGCGACGACGGCGGCGCGTGGCTCCGAGGCTCCGAGAAGGCGCGCGAGGAGACGAAGGCGGCCTGGCTGGCGACCCTGGGCGACCTGCGCGCGGCGTCCAAGGGCCGCCGAGGCGGCGCCGCGGCCGTGCTCGGCCTCGAGGTCGCGTCGCTGGACGTCGCGGTCCGGTCGCTGCCCGTGCGCATCGCCGGCAAGGTCGTTAAGGAATTGTTGAACGTCGGCAAGGAGCTCGTGAGCGGCCTCGTGTTCCAGAAGCTGGACTTGAAGGCCATCGGGTCCTCCGTGGGCGCCATCGCGTCCGCCGGCGCCAAGAAGGTCGAGGCGCTGAACGCGGCGCGGCTGTCGTCGCAGCTCCAAGCTTTGGACGCGACGTTCTCCGCCGCGCGGCCCAAGACCTGGCGCTGGACGGCGTTAGATCCCACCAAGGTGCGCGCCCTCGCGCGCGACCTCGCCGCGGCGAAGAGGTCCTACCTCTCCAGGGAGGCGCGCTGGGAAGTCGCCGCGGCCTACTGCTGGCACGCCGCGCAGCTCATGGCGCGGTCTGACGCGTCGTCGGGCGCGCGGGCCCTCCTCTGGCGCGGCGACGCGGACGTGCCGGGTCTGTCGAGTTTCTTGGATTTCGGCGCGCAACCGCCGCCGTGCCTCGTCGTGAAGCCGACGCGGGATTTAGAGGTCGCGACGCACGAGGAGCCGTCGGCCGACTTCGACGACGCGGACGGCCTGCCGCGCGCGGCCTTCGGGCGCGGCGACGCCGTGCGCTGCGTGGCGCGCGAACGCAGGCCGGGCCAGCCCTTCACGTGGTACCGCCTCGAGGGCGACCTGCGGTGGATCGAGGGCGACGCGTCCGCGCTCGAGGACGCGCCGGGGAGCCACGGCGCGTCCTTACTCACGGACCTGAGCGACGCGGCGACGTCCTTCCTGGCGAGCGACGACGCGTCCTTCGGCGCTTTTGCTGATAGAGTGTCGGGCCTCGTC